CTATCCAAATAGTTTTTTACATACAAAAAAACTCGAATATAAAATTTTTTTAGTTAAATGTGTAGAGTTAACCAACCACTTTTGGGTTGAAATTATTTTTTCAATTACCTTAGTTTTTAAATATTAAAATTGGTGACTCATTTTAAGTTAATTTTTTAGCGTAAATTTTATTATTTATCATTCTAATCTGTGATTGAAATTAACTGACGACAAGAGGGTTTGTTCATTTATTGTTTACACTACCAACACTGCTTTACTCAATTTTGCTGTTGCATTCACTTCCCTACACAATTATACCTGCTGCAGGAAGCTAGTGGTTCCTTTCATCACTCCTTTTCCTTTCCTTCCTTCCTTCCTTCCTACTTGGCTACTGTTTTCTCTGGAAAGAAAACGTAAAGGTAACGCCTCTATCTCAGTCTATGTAATCAATGTCTTACAATCTCTAATGCCATTGTACCTCGCCTTCTTGAAAAACCACAACTCTCCCCTTTTCAATCTCCTGTCTTTCTTCCTCCCTCTATAGCTAGCTCTTTTAATTAAGTTCCTTTTTGAACACCCTAGCGAGCTCGCTAGTCTTGAAAGATCAAGAAGAGAAATCTTTTGAGTTCTTGAACTTAGTTCAATTCAAAGAGGAGCTAGTTCATCAGAAGCCATGAAAGAGAGAGGGAAAGCAGTGGAGATGTACAACAACGATTTGTTTGATCAAGATTACAGTATTTCATCAGATCTTCCATGCAAGAAACACCCATCATCATCTTCAGTTGGTATATGTGCTTATTGTCTGAATGACCGTTTGGTTAATCTAGTCTGCTCGGATTGTGGAGAACAAAGGCTCTCTTCTTGCTCTTGCTCGGGGATCTCTTCCAATCGTAATTCATGCACTGTTGATGTAGGCAGTGTTGGTCGCATTTCATTCTTGATAGAAAATGAAAAACAAAAAAATGATCAAGTTTCACAGTCTAGTAATGGTACTTCTAAGCCCAAAGGTTCTAGTGGAGATCAGAAAGGAGATGAACTCAACTTCTTGCTCAAGAGGAGCAGTAGTAGCTGTGTCGAGATCAAGAGGAAAAGTGGATTTTGGAGGATTGGGAGGCTGTTTAGTAAGAAAAGAGGAAAGGGTTGCGATAGAAGTAGTGTTGGGGGTTTTGAAGAGAAAAGTGATATGTGGGTTGTTGATTACATGGGGGTGTCTAGGTGCAGGTCTCTCTGCAGTTTTAGAGGTGGTGGGTTTTTCGGCTCAGAAGATGGTACCTTTTCAGGTGCTAGGAGTTCAATTTCAGCAGCCAGGAGTTCAATTTCAGCTGCCAGGAATTCAGGTGTCAACGGTGGTCTGCTTTTTGATCCTGATAGAAAAAGTGGGTTCAGTGAAGCAGAGCCAAGAAAAAGTGGCTTCGATGGTGAAAGGAGAGATACTACTAGTATTGCTTTCGAGTCTGAAAGGCTTGATTCTGGCCACAATGGAGCAAATACTAGACGTGTATTTTCACTTAAAGAAGGCAATTTTACTACAGTGGATGATTCAGGCTTCATTGACTTGAAGTTTGATTTTCCATCAGAGTCTAAAGCAGATTTATCTTCTGCAAAAATGGTCTCTTTGTCAGATTCAAACTCTGCTTTTGGGAGCATGAGAGGTGGCGATGCTGTGGCACAGGATCATTGTGGAGGGCCTTTTGGGAGTCTAGTGGGAGATGGGCTTTTCAGTAATGGGGGTTCCTGTAGGATCACCGTCAGTGACAGAGGAATCAAAAGGAGCAGGAAAAGTTTCAAGAGTTGGAGATGGATTTTCAGGCAGCATCCAAGCGCAAAGAAGAAAGATCAAGACCTTGTGGTCAAACCCTTAGGTTAATTAATTTCTAATTAGACCAAATCTTGATTTTTGCTTTTGTATCTTTTCCATGCGTATGTGGTGGTGGCATTCTTCCTGGATTCTGTAGCTGTGTTGATCAAGTTAAAACAAAAGTAGCTAACTGAAATGAGTTTGCATGACTTTAGGGTTTATACTAGAAAAAGATTATATATATATATAAGCATTTCGTTATCTAACACAATGCATGTGTATTTTTTATTTAAAAAAAGGGCCTCAATAAAAAATGCTCTTTTAGGGCTTTAATTTTTGTTTTGGTAGAACACCAATTAAAAATAACTTAACATGAATGACAAAAGGGTAAAGTTAAAATGCGAATCTCTTCAATCAGTTTCTTTCGTTCTCCAAAGTGCTTTAATCTGGTTTACGGATTGACGAAATTTAGTTACACTTTTTCTCTTTGTCGATTACTTTTTTCTTTAACGTAATGTGAAAAATTTTGACAGCTAATACTTGGTATTTTTATGATTCTGAAAATAATAAAAAAAAATAAACAAATTTTCTACTTTCAAAATTGATATTTAAAAAGATATGTTAGATGCTAGTTGAGCTCATACTTTTGTTAAGAGTTGTTGACAAAATTGATACTCAAACTAGGACATCATTTGCAAGAATGCCACTGGCAGTGGCTTGTGGATCGTATAACGCTAAATTGAGAGACTGTTTTACCCTTCTATCTTTTATTATTTGCTTTCAAGCCATTTAACATTTGGATTAGGTCTTTGTTTCGGGTTATGGGCTTTTGCGCTTTGAGCATTTTATAAGAAACCGATCCATTGGACCAAAACCTATTTAATTGGTTGTTGTAGACTTGTAATGTATTCCTCTGTTCATAAGCAGTTGGTGTAACTTGTCCAATGGACCAGGTCCATGACTTCCATACATTTTTACACACTTAGTCTGCTAATGCATGCAGAAAGCACTGTCATTATCGATTGAGATGGAGGAGAAGAACAGTAGAGCACAAAGATGTATTTTGCGCCTGTTAATTTTCATCAATCAAATCACTACAGATGTTCCTTACTTGATAATTGCTGGGTTGCATCATACTGGGTTTCTGTAGGAAAAGATAATGATATCTGATCAGGAAATATATTTCGTGTGGACCACCAAACCACTATCTCTTCAGGACGAAGTATAAAACCACTCAACCGCACCACTTTAGTCAATTGTTTGCACAGAGAAAAGAAGCAACAATAATCTGCTTTGTCTCTTTCTCTTTGTTCTCATTTTTCTTAGTTTGCAAGAATGATGTTATTGACCCTTGGATGATTGCATTCCATCTCAATGTTTACCTGACTTTGAGATAAATAAAGTTTCCATGATTTCACTTGAATAACCTCAGGAGCCAAGATTGGCGAGTCACAACGCTATTTGTTGTTATGAGATGATGTATCCTATTTCTGAAGAAAAGACAAATTATAAGTCAAAACTAAATAGTTTTAGATTCTTTCATTCCAATGCTTGTGAATTTACTTTGTTCGTAGGAAAAACATTTCGTTCATTTTGAATCCAATAATTTATATTATGTTATTGAGCGACCTGGTAAGAAGCACCAAGAGTTTGTTCATTATCCTAAAACTGCACTTCAATTATTTTTAGCTTCTTTCTTTTTTCTCTTTCATTAATTTGTGTTGCACATCATTTAATTTGTTATGGCATTAAGCCATTATTTAATGAGTTAGTCCAAGACTAGTCTCCATGTTGCCAAGATTCTAGGACCATCCATGCATAGAACTTATAACATGAGCTCTACAATCTAGTTGGTCTTGCTAGTTATGTATTTTTGATTTGACGGCAAAAAATATTTTTTAGACCACTTTGAGCGTGAACTGGTTGCTGTTGGTGGGAGAGATACAGTGAGCGACATTGAGGAGAATGTGGTTGATGGGGTAATATGGTTCAAGAGTTCTAGTAATGGTGTGGGACAGAGTTAACCGTTGTCGATAGAATGAAGTAGGAGCAAAAGGCAAGTGAGGGTGAAGAGGGTAGACGAGTTTGGAGGCACTGAAAAGAAGAAGAAATTTGATTGGTATGTGTTGATTGAGAGGTTTGCAGTGAAGAGAGCAGATGGAGGTTTGGTGCTAACCTATGATTTCAGGCACGCTCATCAAATTATACGCAAATGGGAATGACAGATATCGTTTTTACACCCCTGAAGTCCCTTCCCCCCTGTTTTTGTGTGAAAATGCTGCATGTGTTTATGAGTGTGAAGACATAAATAATTAAGACTACTTTTGCGGTCTTTCGATCTTATTCGTTAGACAAAAACACTTCCATTTTGCTTCTTCACATTTTTTTCTTTGCTGTTAATTCATGTCTACTCTGGTCTTTTATTAAATGTGATATATACATGAACATGAGCTCAATCTTTCCTTCAGCACATATTCTTTGACATATACTTGAGACAATTTTTATGGGGAGAACTATATAATTTTTGTCATTTGATAAAACAGATATATAGAAGGATCCTGCCTGAGGTTCATGAGATTGAACACAGCAACAAGCAGTCAAAATAGACCAACTGCAATATTTCAGAAAAATAGAAAGTTTAGACAAAAACATGAGCAGATAACAATTACTCCACGAGGGGATTAGTAGAGGGCCAGTCCATGAACGTAACTGGAAGTCTGGAATATTCAATCAGGTCAACCTTAAGCAATAGCATGAAGTTGCTTTCTTGGTTTGCACGATTGAGAGATTTTGGACCTCCTAGCAATGGAGGTGTTGGTCCGCGTATTTCTATTGATTTGATCTCGTCTTAATATGGACTAAATCCCACTACTTTTTTGTTGGAACAATCAACATATTCCTAATTCATACCATGTACCATTGATGATAAATTCGACTCATTTTTAAAACTAATGAATTCTAATAAACCTGTTTGACTAAGTATAAATATCATCGAACCTTGTTTTACTTTTCCAAGTTTTCCTCTAGTAGGATTCTTATTACTTGTCTAAATTGTCCACGCTATTGACTTTTCAAATTTTCTCTTTCCCATCCCTATATATACACACACATGAAGATTGAGAAATTGATATCAATACTGCTTTAAGAAGTATATATTCTAATCATTACAAATTTCAAAGCAGAAAAGAACTAGTAGCGGAGAAAAGAAAGTCTTGGAACAAAAATGTATGTAACTAGGCCTCTTTCTATGTACAGAAGAAATCCTTCAGCTCTTTCATTACCTCCTCCTGAAGGTCCAAATTCTGGTGTATTGATCATTCAAGATGAAGAAGCTGAACCTACTTGTTGTTTTGGCTTGTGTAAGAGCGATGAAGTCGAAGATCTGCCTTTCCCTCAGAACAAGAATCTAAAAGTTCGCTACTCCACAAGCCGAGGTGCTGGACAGAACCATCATAGTGATGTTTCCATTAACCGAGTTATCTTCATTCCCGTTCTTAATCAGCCACTGTCTTCCAACAGGTACCATGTGATCGAGCGACGCGGGAGGCATAAAGGGTATGTTATTCACAAAATGCAGTAACTATTTATTTAATTTTCGTACGAAGTGATCATGCTGTTTTAGAAAATCAAAATGCTTTCGGTTGGCTTTTGGACGTAATCGACATGATTTTACTAACTGCTCTGCTCATCAAACTTGGTCTTAATTCAGGGAAGCGCACACAAATGCGACGGAGGAGGACGTGGCAACGTGCTGTTTTGGCTGCTGTATACCAGATATGGAACCGGAGTCTTTCAACCCTGTGGACTTAAACCAGCAATTTGAGATTCGCAGGAGAAACTGGGGTGGTTATGTTGCTAAATCGGTTGCTACAGATGGCTTCCCTCCATATTTCTTAAGGAGAAAGGGTTGGAGTGTGTTAACCTCAACTGCAGATGATTTTGTGTTGAATGAAGCAGCAGGCCTTGATAGAAATCTCCGTGCCCGCCTTCCGGATTTCCATTTTCCATTATCACAAAGAAGTTCTGCACCTGTTGTTGTAGGGAAGTGGTATTGTCCTTTCATTTTTATCAAGGAAGGAAGACTGAAGGATCAGATGAGTATTTCAAGGTATTATGCAATGACACTGGAACAAAGATGGGAACAAATTTTCACAAGTGAAAATAGTTCTAGTGAAGGCAACTCTGTAGTTGTAGACGCTGTTGTTCAAAGAGAAGTGGTTGCTGTTTCTGGTAGAGAAGTTGCGCCTAACGAAAGGAATGTGGTTGATGGGGTTATGTGGTTTAGGAGTCCAAGCAATGCTGGAGGAGAAGCAAGCGTGGGTTTGAGATTAGAAATTGTGGAGAGAATGAAGTGGGAGCAAGAAAGAGCTGGATGGCTCGGTGGTAATGAGAGTTACGCTACGGTGAAGAGGGTGGAGGAGTTCGGAGGGACTGGTGGCTGGAAGAAATTTGGATGCTATGCGTTGGTTGAGAGGTTTGTATTGAGGAGAATGAATGGAAGCTTGGTGCTAACTTATGACTTCAAGCACACTCATCAAATTAGGAGCAAATGGGAATGAGATTAATACTTTCATTCTTTGATTCTTTTTAGGATTTAAATGTTAAAGTTTGTTCTGGTTTAGTGAAAAAGATGTGTAGTGTAGGTGAGTGAAGGAGGAATTCTTTTTGTTTTATTTTATCTACCATCCCATTTATTTGATTGAATGTTATTTATTTTATCCAGGCTTTCTTTTTCTCTTGGTTTTTGGTCAAGAAGACTGTTTATTTCATTGTATTTCTATTTTGAGCCTGCTTTTTGATGTACCAACAATTTCTAACATGGTACAGAAAAAAAGACAGAAGCAGAATTAATGGCTGATGTATCAACCATTTCTAACATGGTACAGAAAAAAGGACAGATGTAGGATTAATGGTAAATGCCAAACATTTTATATTATTCTCTCTACGATTCTGCAGAGTAGGTGGTGTAGAACAAATCATGTTTAATACAACACACGTGGAACTGATTTCTTCGAAGACTTAGTCTGCTATTGTTTTGTCGTTACTGCTTGATGTCCTATTTTTTAGTTGAATCAGTAGAATCAATGAGTGTTTTTGAAAAGAAGCAGAATGCGTAGTTGATTTTATTTCCATGTATGTCTTTACAAGGCTCTCTAATTGAATCAAATTTTTTAATTTAATTAAAATTTATATTATCACTTTTTAGTTTAATTAATTAAAAAATTTGTTAAATCAAAATAAATACGATATAATAGATTCGTTTGAGGTATTATAAACTTATAACTATTATTCAAAAATTTAACTAAAACTCTCTTCATATTTTTTTAAAAGATATTATAAACATTTAATTTTATATTTAAAAGTTGCTTATTTTGGTAAAAATAAATTTATATCCATAAAGGATATTTTGGATAAAAAAATGTTTTTACCTTCCCTTCTTTTGTTTTTAATTTAAAATTTTAGAAAGAATGACTATATATATCTTCATATTTTTACATTTATTTTTATTTTTCAAAATTTATTTATTTAAAATTGATAAAAAAAAGATTAAGATGAAAAAATAAAATAGATGAATGGGATTAAAATAGCAAAAAAAAAAAAAGGGACGGTTAGTCTAAAAGTTAACATATGGACGAGATCAAGACAAAAACAAAAAATAGAGAGATGAACTTAAAATAAAAGAAGACATAGAATGCGATAAACGAAAAAAAAAAAAAAGTCTCTCCAACAATTAACCTGATAATTTATTAACCATTACGTAAAAAATTGTAGTTACAGAGGTTATTCTCTGGCGAAGGCCTTACCGGTGTTATTACTCAACATAATTCAGGGGTTGCTTTGTCATTAAAATATTTCTTGTTTCGAGCTACCATTAAGTAAAAACTGGTAGAGACACACATCTATAACCATCTAGATCAAAAGAGACAAAAGTGTAGCAGCGAGGAAGACATGACATTTTTTATGTGAAAGCTATAATTCTTGAGCCTGCTTTTTGATGTATCAACAATTTCTAACATGGTACCAGAACAAAGGATAGAAGTAGAATTAATGGTAAATGCCAAACAATCCATATTCATCTCTCTACCATTTTGCAGAGTAGGTGGAGGAAAAATCACCCCATGCCTAATAACCAAAGATACCATTTCAGCAGGAAAAGGGAAGGAAGGAAGTGGAAAGGGATTAAATCCTTATAATGCTAGGCTGCAAGCTTAAAGAGAATTGAGAATTATTGCTTTAAAAAATGAATTAATTTTCACAAATTGAACCAATGTGAATATAAAATTTGCACTATCCAAAAAAAAGAAGACTTTAAGAGCCTTGGGAAAAAATTCAAACAATGAAACGAAAACTACCAAACAGCTAACCCTGCAGGTTCCATCTTTCACAAATAGCTTGTCCAGATTCTGCTGAATGAGCTTTTATGGTGTAAGCTTATGACAGACAAAATGTTGCATCTAACTTCAGGGCAGGTTTAATTATCAATGTTGACTCTTCTATTCCTCTTAATCCATACAGATAGATGTAGGAATACGAGGGCAATCTGAGGTTGAAAAGGTTTTTTTTATTAAAAGCATTTGATTGGTTCCTATAGCCATCAGTTTTCTGTTAACCATTAAACATTTCCCGAATTGCATGGAAGATTGCCACCAACTTTTTTCAACTCCTCCAATAGAATTTTTTTTATTCGAAATCCAGAAATAGATGTGCTCCATTATGTTATCTGCGAGCTTGACTAAAGTTATTGCTACTATTATATATTTGGTGTCTTGAGATTTTTAAAAGCTCTGAACTTGTCAAATGTTAATGAAAATCTCATGAACCTTCATGATTGAAATGCTTAATTATTAACCATATAAGTTAATCAAAGACCATTTTCTTATTAATCATATACTTTAATCAGAAACATTCAATCTGGTTAACTTCATTCAACAGTCCCCATCTCAAAGAGAACTAAACAAATTTGCTAGACACAAGTTCTGAAGCTTCCTAGTAATTAGCATTTTAAAATTTAAAATGCTTTTGGAACTTTCCTAGCATTTGGTCATGCATATGAACTCCGCCAGTCATATTTCAGTGACATCTCTGCAGATTATCTTCAATCAACTAGTTGACTTTAGGCACCAGAGAGAATAAGACTCCCACGCACGTAACTTGTCCGAGCTAGACAAGCAAGCCATTTTGAGTTCATTTCTACATATATAGATATAAGCCGGTAAATATGTGCATTTGAGTTGAATGCCTGTTATTCATTTACAAAACAGTTTCACAAGGAAAAAAATTACTAAGATCTACTGAGCCAAAAAACGTTGAGAGGAGATGTATGTGACAAGGCCACTTTCTATGTATCTAAGAGATCCATCAGCTCTTTCATTACCACCTCCTGACGGTCCAAATTCTGGTGTACTTGTCATCCAAGATGAAGAAGCTGTACCTACCTGTTGTTTTGGATTGTTCAAGAGTGATCGAGTAAATTGGGGCCTGCCTTTTCCTCAAAACAAGAACTTGATGGTTCGTTATACACAGCAAGCTGGGGAGCATCAACACGTTCACAGGAACAGCGTCCTTTTCTTTCCTGTTCTTAATCAACCACTATCCTCCAATCAATACTACGTGATTGAAAGGAAAGGGAAGCATAAAGGGTATTTATTCATAAATTTCCGCTTTTTTAATCCTCTTTTTTCTTTCAAATCAAGTCATTCATTAAGATCTCAAACAATTTCGTCAGCTAGGACTTTAAGTCCATGACAGGAATCACTGCTGTATATTGGGAAGAAAATTAATGAATGCAAGTAATTTTAATTTTTAATTTTTTACTATAATGCTTAATAAATCCACACTCAAACTGGCTTTCAGGGAAGCTTACATAAACTCCAAGGAAGAGGACATGGAAACATGCTGCTTCTGCACCTGTATTTCCGATTTAAAACCGCAACCTTTAGATCCTAGGAACATATATCAGCAGTTTGAGATTCGACACCGAAACTGGGGAGGTTTTGCTGCCAAATCCGTAGCTTCAGATGGGTTCCCTCCAAATTTCCTGAGGAGAAAAGGCTGGCGAGTATTTACCTCAACTTCAAAGGAGTTCCAGCTAAATGAAGCACCAGGCCTTAACACAGCTCTCCGTGTTAGCCTTCCAGACTTCAACTTCCCACCATCACAAAAATGTTCTACACCTGTAGTAATAGGGAAGTGGTATTGTCCGTTCATGTTCATCAAGGAAGGGACAGTACTTAAAGATCAGATGAAACATTCAACCTATTATGAGATAACTCTTGAGCAACAATGGGAGCAAATTTTTGCTTGTGAAAATACGTATAATGAAGGAAATACTGTGGGTGTAGATGTTGTTGTCGAACTCCAAGTGGTTACAATTGATGGGACAGAAGCTGTGCATGACCAGAGGAATGTTGTTGACGGGGTAATGTGGTTTAGGAGTATCAGCAATGTGATAGGAGAAACCAATGTGGGATTGAGATTAGAAATTGTGGAGAGAATGAAGTGGAAGCAGGAAAGAGCAGGGTGGGCTAGTGGGGGTGAAAGGCAAGTGAAGGTGAAGAGAACTGAGGATTTTGATGGCAAGGGAACGTGGAAGAAATTTCGATGCTATGTGTTGGTTGAGAGGTTTGCACTGAAGAGGATGGATGGAAGTTTGGTGCTGAAATTTGATTTCAGGCATACTCATCACATTAGGAGCAAATGGGAATTATAAAATTATGACTTCTTTTTAATCAACTAAAACTTTACTCATAATGAATAAGGAGCAAATGATTTTTTTTTTTTTTTTGTAATCAAATTCGGAGTAAATGGGATTCGTAGCTGGAGGAAATTTGGATGCTAGAGTTCTTTGAGAGGTTTCGTGACGAGGAGAATGAGAACTGAGAACACTGTCCATTCTTCCATTCCTGTGCAGTATTTACTTGTTACAGTACCTCACGTTGTTCTATTTGAGTAAAAAGGAATTTTATTTATTTTTTGTACTACAACTCATGTATTCGATTGTGTGCTGTTTCCTTTATCTAGATTTTCTCTGTTTGATTTTGTTCAAGAAGAGTGTCGTTTTATGACTGTTCTGTTTAGTTCACTTCTTTATGTAGCTACAGCTTTTGAATAAATGGATGTAATGGCAGGTTTTACCTCAGTACGTGGAGGTTAGTACCATCAATTCTGTCAATTATGTCCTCGAAGTATTATTATGTTATCTTCAAGCTTGAACATAGTTATTAGTACTAATTTAAATTCAATGGGTTGAGATTTTAAAAAGCTCTGAACTTGTCAAGTGTTAATGAAAATCTCTTGATCGAAAGCTTGCTTATTAATCATATAATATTTAATAAAGGATCAATTGCATTTCTTATTAATCAGACACACAGAGTTTAATCTTATACATCCAATCTAGCTAACTTCATTTAGAGTCCACGTCTCAAAGATAATTAAATATTTGCTACACGCAAGTTCGAAGCTTCCTAGCAGTTAGTTAGGAAGCTTCGAACTTGCGTCTAGCAAACATGCGTCCACTTCATTATTTAATTATCTAACAACTAGGCAGCCTGACTACTACGAAGCTTCCTACTATTGCTAATGGCGCTACAGGTTGTGGGATTGAATGTTGGTGTTATTATGAAAAACATTAGAGCAACTTGAACTAAAACAACATGGCGAATCAAAAAACAATCCACTTCGAACCACTTAAGCTCAGCTGTACAAAAAACTCATGCATCCACTGCCATCCTCTGCACTTCATCTTCAATAGTCAACTGGTTGACTATTAGGCCCTAGGAACCAATGGTAACTTGTCGAAGTTATACTAGCCACTTTAGTCAATAAATAGACTTATGTGCATCAAGGCTGATCAGTTGAAACACCATTGAAGACAGAACCTTAGAAGTTTGAGAGAAAATTAATCATGTATGTGACAAGGCCTCTCTCGATGTATCTAAGAGATCCTTCAGCTCTTTCATTAACTCCTCCTGGGGGCCCAAATTCTGGTATATTGGTCATCCGAGATGATGAAACTGAACCTACTTGCTGTTTTGGGTTGGTCAAGAGTACTGATTATGTAAGAGCCCTGCCGTTTCCCCAAAACAAGAACCTAACAGTTCTGTTTCCAGACGGGGACTACACTGAATGCACCCATGTTCTATTCATTCCGGTTCTTAATCAACCATTGTCTTGCAAACAATACTATGTCATTCAAAGGAAATGGAAGCATCAAGGGTATGCATCTTATCTCATCTAATCAACACTTTCTTTTTATCCAGCTCCATTTTCTTTTGGCCCAAATTGGCTCTCATACTATCATTTTGCGCTGTCAGTTATGTTGAATTTTTTTTTTGACTTAAAGAATCAGTTCCCAGTAACATGCGTTATTGCTTCATTTTTGGAAGAAAAAGAGTGCAAGTCTTCTTGATATTCACACATTGAAGATAGCACTTAAGCTAATTATATCAGCACTCAAATTGACTTCAGGAAAGCTTACAGAAACTTGAAGATCAAGGAGGACATGAAAAAAGGTCATTCTGGCCGCACACGTACATCCTGTTTAGAACCACAACCTTTGAATCCTAGAAACATATATCAACAATTTAAGATTCAACGGCGAAAATTGGTTAGCTTTGTTGCCAAATCTGTAGCTTCGGATGGGTTCCCTCCAGAATTCTTGAGGAGAGATGGTTGGGAGTTGGCTGCTTCAACTCCTAAGGAGTTCCAGCTGAATGAAGCACCAGGCCTTGACACTGCTCTCCGTGCCCACCTTCCAGACTTCAACTTCCCATTGTCACAAAATTGTTCTGAAGCTATAACAGTGGGGAAGTGGTATTGTCCTTTCATGTTCATCGAAGAAGGGACAGTACTTAAAGATCAGATGAAACATTCAACCTATTATGAGATGACTCTTGAGCAACAATGGGAGCAAATTTTTGCTTGTGAAAATACGTATAATGAAGGAAATACTGTGAGTGTAGATGTTGTTGTCGAACGCCAAGTGGTTACAATTGCTGGGACAGAAGCTGTGCATAACCAGAAGAATGTCGTTGACGGGGTAATGTGGTTTAGGAGTATCAGCAATGTGATAGGAGAAACCAATGTGGGATTGAGATTAGAAATTGTAGAGAGAATGAAGTGGGAGCAAGAAAGAGTGGGGTGGGCTAGTGGGGGTGAAAGGCAAGTGAAGGTGAAGAGAACTGAGGATTTTGATGGCAAGGGAAAGTGGAAGAAATTTGGATGCTTTGTGTTGGTTGAGAGGTTTGCACTGAAGAGGATAGATGGCAGTTTGGTGCTGAAATTTGATTTCAGGCATACTCATCACATTAGGAGCAAATGGGAATGACATAATTGTATCCTTTTTTTCATATTCGATCACCTAAAACCATAAGTGGCCCTGTTTTTAAATGTTATTCGTTGTAGGCTTATGTGGCAAAATGGCAAAGCTAATAAAAAAGATAAAGAGATTAATTTCAGGCCGTGTAGTATCCTCTACATTCCAAACTTCCCGTTTTATACTCCATCCTTCATCTCTTTCCTCGGTTATCCAAGATGCCTCAAATTCAGGTATTTTTGAAGATGAAGATGACAGCCTGTTATAAATCACGCAGTATGGACCCGGGTTTTTACCATATTAGGGAGGCAATGTCATGATCAGCAAGTAGTACCCTAAAAAATGCTCTAATTTTATGAATTGTATCCATTAAATTAATTGCCACAAAATGTTCACTTATGTGCACTCATCCAGTCCTGGGATAATCTTGGTTTAGAAATCGAAAATAATTTTTCAGTAACAATAACAACAATTTATCTCAACTTTTAGAAAATACGATTTTTTTTTCTTTTCCTTTGAGAATCATTTGGATTGGTCTAAAACAAGAAGCAAATTGGTGGTGGGCTCAGAGCCCAACCCAGTGTGCCGTCGTTGGCCCATTAGCTAAAACCCTAAAAAACCGCCTGTGCTATCTATAAAAACCTGAAACAAAATCCTCGTCTTTCACCGCAAAAATCTCCATTTTAGAGCGGGAAAAAAAGAACTCTACTCTTCATTTCTCAACTACTGAATTAGGTTGTTGCTGGAAAATCAAATCAAATGCCAAACCTAATCGATCAAGATCAGCAATGGCTACTCAATTGCCTGAATGCCACTCTCGATCCTAACCAGGAAATCCGTTCCTTCGCCGAAGCTTCTCTTCATCAAGCCTCTCTTCAACCAGGTCATTCCCCACCCTCTACTTAAAATTTCCGATATCAATTAAGGAATCTAGTCTTAGCGAATATTTTTTTCTTCAGGTTTTGGAGTCGCATTATCAAAAGTTGCTGTAAATAAGGAACTTCCTTTTGGATTGCGTCAGATATCCTTTTTCTTATTTCTTTATTTATTTATTTTGATATTTGATTTGTTGTGAGAATTAACTTGATAATTACCTAGCTGCGGTGCTACTAAAGCAATTTATTAAGAAACATTGGCACGAAGGCGAGGAGTCTTTTGAGCCTCCTGTAGTTGCAACTGAAGAGAAGGTAGTTATGGCCTTTCTTTTCGATCCTGAAATTCATAAATTCAGACCTAATTAATAGTTTATTGTTCTGTTATTAGGAAGCTATACGGAGACTACTTTTACCTTCGTTGGATGACTCTCATCGGAAAATTTGCACCGCAATTAGTATGGCTATTGCTTCGATTGCTGTGTATGACTGGCCTGAGAATTGGCATGATTTATTACCGTTTCTTTTGAAGTTGATAAGTGATCAAACTAATGTGAGTGGAGGTAAGCCTTCGGAATGTTGAGTTTGGTGGTGGTGAAGTTTTTACTCTGCAATTCTCATATACATTGCAAGCAATTTTTTCTTTATAAAAAAAATAAAAATAAATCCTGAAGTTCTCTTTGTAAAATTGAATCCCTAGTCTGAAGATCTTATTAAGTGAGCAGTTCTTCGAAATTTGACTTGGGAAAAAAGAAGGTGATAGTTGATGTTGGAATTTGTAGTGCATGGAGCTCTAAGGTGTCTGGCTCTTCTCTCTGGGGATTTGGATGATACAGTGGTGCCAACACTAGTACCGGTTTTGTTCCCATGTTTGCATACAATTGTATCATCACATCAGGTTAGTGTTATTTGCATATTTTGCTGCTATTTGATTGATTTTAGTTTTCTTGTTGGTTATGGGATGGACGATTTCTATGAATGAAAATATGAACTTGTTCAAAGAAAATGTGGGTGTGCCAGTGCATGTGCATATATATGCTTGTAACTAGGTGAATAAAGAACAGAGCAAGACCATGAAAATGGCAATTTTAACAGCATCATAGTGACCAAACTGGCATGAGATTGCTTTGATGCCCACATATGAAATACATGTAGACATGATATGTTGCCCAAAAACAGTAACACACAAAAGGTCCCTGGTTTGAGTGACATGTTACTATTGCACCTTTGTGGGTGGTGTTGGAGTCAAAATAGCTAGACTTATGTGGTTTTGGTGCACTCTCTGGTTTATGCTTGTGGGTGGTTTGGATTTCTTTATTATTTTGTGCCTTGAAAGAAAAAAGACAAAAAATGCTTTGATAAAATCTTGGTGAATTCTGATTACTATGGTAAATAACTAAGCAACTAGTAGCATACTGTGGCTGCGTGAGAGATATTACTCATTCTGCACTTTAAATTACCTGTGTAATCCTGAGGCCTGAAAGCAAAAGTGAAATTGTTTTGACAAAATCCTGGTGATTTCTGGCTTCTGTAGTGAATAAGTGGGCAATGAGCGACATAATGTTGTTGCTTGAGAGATACTATTCTTTCTTATAGGATTTATAATTACCAGCGTGTCTATTTTTTTCCTTGTATTTTTCTTCCATATCATAGTTTGGTATGTGAATAGACCCTAATTAAATGTATGGCAAGTAGTTAGTATCATTCTGTTAATTTTTTTGCTTTCTTGATGACAAAACCATGCTTCAGTTCTTCTTGTGGACTTACTAGCTCAGAACCTGTTTAAACAGAATTATGACAACTATTTGCGTACCAAAGCCCTTACAATAGTTCATTCTTGCACGTCTATGCTTGGGGTCATGAGTGGTGTATACAAGGTATATTTTTACACCTGATCTAGTTTAGTTTCCACATGCTTCTAGACTGAGTTTTATTTTAACTTGCTCTATCTTTGATTGAAAGATTAATACATTTATGTTCAGACAGAAACCAGTGCCTTGATAACACCAATGCTTAAACCCTGGATGGATCAGTTCTCTGTTATCCTAGAACGGCCTATGCAAGCTGAAGATCCTGATGATTGGAGCTTGAGAATGGAGGTTAATTCATTTTTTTGACCTAAATCTCTGGTTATCGTGCTTCTTTGTTGAAATGAGTAAGTGGCTGATAACATTTATTTCTGCGCTCAACAGGTTTTAAAGTGCTTGAATCAGTTTGTTCAGAATTTCCCTGGTCTTACTGAAAATGAATTCATGGGTATGTTCGTTTATTATATTCAAAGCAGCTTTCTTTTAGTTTATTTTGAAGTTCTGCTGTTTGCAAATTTGTTATTTCGTATTTGCCCTTCTAACAACCATGTTGTTGCAGTTATAGTTGGACCATTGTGGCAAACATTTGTAACATCTCTAAGTGTGTACGTGCGGTCATCAATTGAATGTACAGAAGATCCTTATGGTGATAGATATGATTCTGATGGTGCAGAGAAAAGTCTTGATTCATTTATCATCCAGGTAATCATATTGACATGTCTAGATTACAATATAACACACACACATATATTTTGAAGCTTTTTAAGTTAAATGTCATTAAAATTTTGCTTGATGGAGTTTCAAATTGGCCTAACGTCATCAGCTGTGGGATAGATTGATTTATCACATGCAATGTGATTCACTTTGATGATTTTCCATTAAATATCACATACGGGATAAAATATAAAATGATTTACTACCATTTTATTATTCAGGCACCAAGTGACCTCCTTGAGGAGAGATGGCAACAGGATGGCTACCCATGAAAATAACTGAAACCAGATCTATTAAAAAACCCTCATCCTAAACCTGTCCCATCCCAAACTCTAACCCTCCCTGCTAAAACATAGTAAACTACTAAAAAATCTTCATCATACATTAACTCTGAAATGACACCTATAGAAAATGATAATAAAAAGTAAATTGTTTGTAACTACACATACCTGTTTATGAACAACAGATGAATTCACCAATTATGAGTTGGGCACTTTAACCATTCAGACATGGATGCTTAGCAGGGATCCTTGTACATGGTGAATAACCAAATTCCAATTGAAATGAAACCTTTAGTTGTATTCGATGGAAAAGGTTTTTCTTGATACTTAATTAAACTACAAAGAGATTATTTTTTATTTTTTTTATTTTTTTTTATGGGAAGAAAATATGTAGAACTGAGAACAGAATAATAGAAATTCCTACTCTTAGAAACTAGTTGGACCAAAAAAAAAAAAACAAAATAAAGATTTGATTTTTTTCAAGTTTCTAAAAGAAGTGGGGTTTTAGTCTTGCGTTTGATGCTGATCATAGTGCATCACGCTACTAGACAACGGATCTATATATATTCTATCTCAATCAAAGGGGGAAACCTTCCTCTAGTAGTGTATCAACTGCTATGTCTATCTGAACGGAGCCCTCTTTTACATGGATCCCTGCTAGGGGCACTGCTGATTAATGCACGGCTGAGGAGAAATCTGTGGCTTAACTTGAATAATCTCTTTCATCCTACCTGTCTTGCCTTTCTTCTTGGTGTTGTCTTTTATATACTTTATAAAAGAAAATTAAATAAATTTATATAACAATGCAAATATATATATTTTGTGTATATTTATGTATAAGTTTTAATTGAGTAGCTGTACCTTTAGCTCAAATACCTCGTCCCAAAGCCTGCTGGGTTTTAAGTATCCATCCTAAATCCTATATAATTTATTATTATTATTTTTTTAATCTAAGAATATGTCTTTTGGTGGTTTTGTTTGAGGTGGACACTTGGAAACATTATCAAATGGGTTAATATTCACATGGGAAAGGCTAATGTAAGTTTGGTCAAAGAATAATAAAATTGGGTAAATTTTTCCATTTATCATTATTCTAATAAATCATCAAAACTGTGCAATCTGGTTAATTAGTTAGTAAATTACCATGAATCAGCCTTCAGGATGTTCTAGCATGTTGGCTGGAAAGTATTGTACATCACCACTTGTTTTTAAACTGATCAGAACAATAGCGGCAACTGAAAATAACTGTCATGGAATAATGGACAATCATGCTGGAAATTGAATAACTGTTTATATTTCCCAATCAAGAAGTCATAAAAGTTACAATACTAACCTGATATGTACTTTCTTGTTTTGTTTTTTTTCCCTCATCTCATCAAGGCAAGTGTTTTTAAGTAGGCAGAGAATGATGGTAAAGAGTACTTTTCTGTTTTCTAGGGGTAAGCTTTGAGGAATTGATGTATTATTTTTATTTTTATATATGTATAACACTTTTTAAAGTATGTTTTGTTTGAAGGTTTATTGTTTGACTTGGGACACTGATAATTTCTCAATAGAACCAAATGGAGTTTGCTATCAAGAACCTTTTGTTTTAAACGTTTTCAGTACCATGGTTATATGTACTGTTCTGTTTTAGCTTTCTAGGCGAAGGGTTTCTTACACATGCATTTGTATATGCAGCTTTTTGAGTTTCTATTGACCATCGTGGGCAGCGTGAAATTAATGAAGGTGCTGTTCAAATTCTTTGATTCTGTTTCTGCTCTTTATTGTTTTGTCCCACACACCACATTATGTTTGTGAAACCTGGTTCGTGCAGGTATTTAGGAATAGTATGAAGGAGTTGGCATATTACACTATAGCTTTCCTGCAAATGACAGAACAACAGGTAATTTTGTTCACAACAAGTTCCTGTTATGTGTCCTTGCTTAATGCATCTTTATGTTAATTAAAGGTCATTGTGGATAAATGCATTTGTGTTAGATATGTTTAGATGTTAAGGTAGGGCATATTTCATCTATTCTGCCAAGGGAAAGATTCTAATGTCTAACTTGACTTGTGCTCCTACAACCCAAACAAAAATATGTTCCCTTTTTTAATATAATTTATGAGGAGCGGCCTTGGGCCTCCACAACTAATCTGCCACTACTTGAGGCTAGCTTTGCCAAGTTGGCCAGCCCTTTACTTTACTCATAGGGCGTTCAATTGGTACCATATGAAGGATGAGGAGCAGCCATCCCAGGGCAAGAGTTGAACCCATGACCTGGGATGTCACGGGCTCTCCACTTACCACGGCACCTACACCCTTCAGTGGTATCAAATATACATTCCTGTTCAGGCTCCTTTTTCCTGTTGCTCATCAGTTTTGTATATGGATTATATAGGTTCATACTTGGTCAATGGATGCAAACCAGTTTGTTGCTGACGAGGATGACGCTACATATAGCTGTCGTGTTTCTGGTAAGTAGTTTTGAACCTAATTATTAGTTGCTATTAGTACTGTTGATAATTATGTCGTGAAATTGCAAACTAGTAATGTTTTGAATATATTGGTCCAATTGCTCATTTTGGAAAAGAGGGGGGAGGGAGGCGCAAAAAGAAAAGAAACAATGGTAACCATGGAATTTCATACAATTTTAAGAAGCTTTAAAATTAAATGGCGAAGATTCTTAGAACAACAAAGAAAATTAAGCATGCAAATAAACCATGATCTCAGTTAATACCAATTGCTGGTTGAGAAAACATAGTTAAGTTGGTGGAATATATCCAAGGTGCAAAGTGGTTCTCGGACTGTTGAGGCAAGCTGGTCTTAATTTTCGTTGGGTTTTGATTAACATGTTTTAGTTTCAGCATTGCATTGAGCTGAACCAAATAAACACGTGGAAATAGTTCGGTTTGGGTTTGGTTTTGTTGAAAAGTATTTTTTGGACAAGCTTAGGAAATCCCAACCACAACCTGTCATAAGCACTGGACAGCTTTTGGGTGGCACAAAACAGAAGAGGATACAAATTAGGGGTGTTTGGATAAACTTATCTTTAGACTGCAGTTCTGTTATCTATATAGGTTTTGAAATCTATAGTACATATATTCGTCATACTTTCTTCTGGCTTTGTGTGTTTCGCTGAGTGCCATAACTGCAATTGTGGCATCTCTTTCTGCTTCTGTTTATATTTTTTGCTCTCGTTCAATGTCACCATCTTCGTAGCATTTGACTATCCTTTAATGTGTCCATGGATTGCTATCAAAATGATTTCTGCGCTTTTTTTTTTTCGCCGTTCTGGAAGATTCCTAGCTGAAAGTGTTAATTTTTCTTTTTTTTTTTAATAATTTCTGACATCATTGATTGAATATGCCAATGGTAAAATTTTTACTTGGTGTCCTTATCTGTATTGTTGTGCAAGTTATGAGTACCCATGTCAAATGGTTTTACTAGAGTTTGTAATTCCTGCTCCCACATGCTTTTCTATCGAAAAAAAAATGCTAGTCTATTATTGGAGCTTTGCCGATGGGCATTTGCATGCTCCTATAAAATAGGGATGGGAGTGGGGATAGGTCTTGAGTTTGAGTCCTAGTGATCTACCCCTGCCACTTAACGAATAAAAAGTCATTGGGCTTTTATTGATGCACTTCGCTACGTTAAAATTGCTCTGGGCAGGTGTACTTTTGCTAGAGGAGGTGGTGAATTCTTGTGGCAGTGAAGGAATTCATGCCATCATAGATGCTATGAGAAAGAGATTCAATGAGTCTCAACAAGAAAAGGCTTCTGGCTCAGAAGCTTGGTGGAGAGTAAGTGAAGGTTTTTTCTTTGTTTTTTTTTTGGGTAAATATATTAATATGTTCTTATATAATACCCAAAGTCTCCCATCTATTCTTAGGTTTTCAATTACATTTTATCTGGCCTTGAAAATTTTTGAAATGTTCAATCATCTGATCAATTTTTCCAACTATAGAAAAAAAATTGACAAAAATGCTCCTGATTGAAATGCAAAAAATAAAAAATTCTAGAGACCAAAAATGAAACATTCAGGTCATGTGTCTTTAAGTGTTTTTTTTTCACATTTTAGTAAAAGGCATTTTGGTCAAGAAATTGTTCATAGTCAGAAAATTTTATCGGAAGAATAAAGTGAACATTTCAAAGACAGATGGGAAGCAATTAGAAACCCAAGGATAGATGAGAGACTTTGGGTATTATATAAGGACATATTGATCTATTTACCTTTTTTTTTTCCATGAATAGTTCATTTTATGAGTGTATGGCCAAGGACCTGTAATTGGGTCTCTGACACTTCTCCTTCACTGAATCTCTCCCTTTTGATATTTTTCCCTTGCATTTAGAGTGAGATTTCTAGGTTTCTCCCACAAATGCATCAAAGTAGTCATTTAGGCTGCTGTGCTTTGTGGCTCTACAAAAAAGTGTGCTGTTAAAAATCAGGCAAGTACAACAGTTGGAGAAATAACTGTTGGCCAGTCTTCAAGGAACCATCAATGTGACTGTTCTGAGGTTTTGTTACATAACCTTTGTGACGGGGAAAGAAAAAGAATAACAATGAGATTCAATATTTGATATTTAGGAATTTTAACATTGTATGATTTCAGTATTATTTAAGAATATTAGTATTTATTATTTAGTGGTTAAAACAGGGATCTAATTTATTTCTTATTTTGTAGGTTTTCCTATTTTAGTTGGTTTGGTTCCCCTTAATAAGCACCTTACCTAGACATTATTATCAAATAAACTGCCTTTCCTGGAGATAGGTCTCACCTGATTTGTGTTTTTGTTGGTGGTTCTACACTGCTACTGCTTATGTTTTCCGAATCTCCTAACATTCTAAAGAATAATCCTACTTAGCTCCTGGCTTTTTCTTGACAGTTTGTATTTTTCATTCAAATTTAGTGTCTTTCAAGATTGTTTCTTGACTTGCGTTTCTGTGGTATTCTATAACTTTCCTTGTGGAGAAAATGATTTCTTTGATTCTTTCTCTTCAGCTTTGAGTCATTTAGTAAACCTTAAATTTACTGCTTAAGGGCTTACTGCACTTGTGATAGCAGCACTGTCAAGTTGGTGTGCATTGCCATCCGTATCTCCAGTGAAGTTTCTGGAAGGTGTCTCTGTGGTCTCTTTTGATTTTATTTTACTCTTGGCATTTGGGAGGTGAAATTTCATGTTCTTTTTTCTTCTCTTCTTTAAGTGCACACATGAGGCTTCCACAGCATCCAAGTGTTTGATCCAGTCAACTGATCTGCTTTGAAAAATGATTATGTGATTTCATATTACTGCTTATGATCCATGTGAAAGACCTTGTTCTGTAGTTTAATCTTGTACTTTTTTAATCATTTTGACTATATATCTTTTTTTTTTTTTTTGGTCATCTTACTGTTTTCTGGTTATCCATCTTTACATGGTAAAATCTGGCAGATAAGGGAGGCTATCCTCTTTGCATTTGCTGCTCTCTCAGACCAATTGCTTGAAGCAGAGGTATTTCTTTTGACATCTCTTATTGTTGTGCTCTGTAAGCAGTGGTGGGAAGCTGCTTTTCTCTTTGTGAAGAATGTGAGATTTTTTTTTCTCTTAATGTTCATTTTATTTTACAGGCTTCAGGGCTGATCAGTGTGAATTTAGCAAACCTTGTAGAGCAGATGGTCACTGAAGACATTGGAACAAGTATATATCTCTTTTCTTTCTTCTGTTTTATTTTGTGCCAGTAGTTGTTTGGAATGTTCATTTCTAGTCACAGTTTTGGCAATTGTTTCATTTTGCAGGGGTGCATGAATATCCCTTTCTTTATGCTCGTATTTTTACATCAGTTGCTAAGTTCTCCTCTGTGGTAACTATTTAATATTTCCTTGTGTTACTAAGTTTACACTGCCTTAAAAAAAAAATATCAAATTTTAGTATCGCACAGATCAGCCCTGGAGTTCTTGAGCATTTCCTCCATGCTGCTATCCTGGGAGTTGGCATGAATGTGTAAGCATTCATGATTACTTTGAAATTTTTACCATTCTTTTTAATGGTGAAAAATCTCTTTTGACGAATGTTATCCTTGCAGGCCTCCACCTGTGAAGGTAGGTGCTTGTCAGGCACTTTCTCAACTCCTACCTGAAGCTAACAACGAAATTATTCAGCCTCAACTGATGGGTTTGTTTTCATCACTCACAGATCTTCTTCATCAGGTAATTCTGCAAGAAAATTTCTTAAATACTTTTGTCAAATGTACATTTACTAGTTTCTGTTTGATTCTGCTTCACAGGCATCTGATGAAACATTGCACCTGGTACTTGAAACACTGCAAGCATCAATTAAGGCAGGTGGGTATGGACATAATTGTAAATTCTTCTGAAGCCTTTTCAGTTTCTTGCCTATCAGCTGTCTCAACCTCTGTATTCGTTAAATTGTAGGTCGTGAAGTGGCTGTATCATTCGAGTCTGTTGTCTCACCTGCCGTTCTTAATATTTGGGCATTGCATGTTTCTGATCCTTTTCTCAGTATTGATGCAATTGAGGTTCTGGAGGTATTGATATTAAATTTCTTCTCCTCCTTATATTCTAGTTTATCAGGGAGAATTGTTGTAGCTGTCAGGATTTCTTAGTTCACTTTCTTCACATGTTATTTTGTTTATCTGCAATGTTTTCCTCTCTTTTTTTTATCGTGTTTTATTCGTCCTTGTTCACATTTCACGGATATGATTGACTGTTGAGCATGATTGGTGAATGTGGAACTTCTTATATATTTATGCTTTTTATATCTGCATTTTTTTTCTGAGTTTTTATCATAAATTAATAACCAAAGGCAAGCACAGATAAAAATATGATTGCAAGCGAGGAAAAAATCTAAATTATTAGTAGTGTAAGTTATACCAGGCCCCCCTGAACTATTGGTCAAAGTGCAAATGATCCCCGGACAATTTATTCAGTGCAGACAGTCTCTATTTGAAATTGGGGGTAAAAATTAGTCATTCTATTAAGTTAGGTTAGGTTTCCATCCAATTCAGTTAAATTATATCATGCGATAGGCACTTGTTTTTCTTATACCAGTTGAATAAAATTCAAAATACAACAAAATTAACAACAAAAATAATGAAAAGAAGAAAAAAAAGTGAAAAAAAAAACATTCTACTGGCATGATTGTCTCTCTCTCTACCCTTTCCCTTTCTTCCTCAAATTTACACAACCCATCTTCAACAGACCACCACTCACTTTCACCACTAATGTGCCATAAATCCATAAACCTAAATCCTCACATAAACCCCGCATCAACTATTAGAATCGAAGTTCAAGGTTATTGGAGGCTGATGTTGTTAGAATTGGAGTTCAAGGTCTGTTGGTGATGTGGTCTGAGCTAAGAGCGGTGGTTCTTGGTGACGGTAATGGCTTGCAAGGGTTTGTTGGTGATGATGTTTGAATTTTCTGTTGGAGGAATGGTGGCGTGTGGTGGAGCAATGGCTGTGATGAGGGCAGTTCTAGTGTGAACGAAAAAGGAGAGACGATGTTGCTGCTCTTGCAATTTCTCACGGTGACTATGGAGGATTGAGGGGAAAGACAATAGTGATGGTGGGGGTTGTGAGGACTGTTTAATGGTGTGGTGGAGAGAGAGAGAGAGAGTCTGACTGTGATTTATGTTTTCAATTTTTTATAATTTGTAATTTGTGGTTTATAAATTATAATTTTCAATTTTTAAAAGTCAAAATTGACAATAATGAAAAGTCAAGTAAATGAACGGCATGATTATTTGTTTCCATGATGGAAGGCAAAGATTGAATCGATAGTGGAAGTTTTTTTTTTGAAAAAAAAAAACATGCTAGTCATGTGACATTTAAAATGGATGGAAACCTAACCTAACTTAATAGAATGACAAAGTTTTACCCCCAGTTTTGTATATGGACTGTTTGTGTCAAATAAATTTTCAAGGGGTCGTTTGTGCTTTGACCAATATTTCAGGAGGACCTGGTACATTTTACCCTTGTTAGTATAAATTTTTATTCGTGCAAGTGCCCATTTTAAGTTCCAAGGACATTAAAAGGGAGAGATTGGGCCCATTCCGTTTTGATTTGTCAGCTGGTTGATCAACTGAATTCTAAGTATCTTTATAGTTTTGAAGTCGTAGTGTGCTTTTAATGTACCAGAGGTGGTGGTGCCCCTCTGACTTTGCTGAACTGATCTTGCTTGGGATGATTTCTTTTTGGACTTTTACTTTAGATGTGATGAAGTCCAGTATTGAGTTTATGTATTTGTTTACTTATGCTTAACTTACTGTTTTGTTTCAAATAATTTGTCCAGGCAATGAAAAATGCTCCTGGTGGTATTCATCCATTGGTTTCTCGAATTTTGCCACATATCGGACCGATATTAAATAAAGTATGGTTGTAAAAGCTATGTTAAACTAAATTGTGTTGCAGTTCTTCAATAGTGATTTAAGCTACTTGTTTCTGATGTTTTTCCATGGTCATTACAGCCATACCAGCAGCCTGATGGATTGGTTGCTGGATCACTTGACCTAGTGACTATGCTATTGAAGGCAAGTGAATCCAGACAAGGATTTTATGCATCTATGTATTTATCACATGCGCACATTTCTTCTATCTTTGAACTCTATTGTCATTATGAGGCATGCTTTGCTAATTTCAGTTTCTGATATGCAGAATGCTCCACGTGATGTCATAAAAGCCATGTATGATACTTGTTTTGATGCTGTTATTAGAATAGTCCTTCAAAGTGATGATCACAGTGAAATGCAGGTTTATTTTCTTCTGAGATATGTATTTAATTTTCGTACTTGTATTGTATATGTACTATGTAGAAATGACTGTTGCTGCATCATTGACTAGAATGCCACACAATGTCTGGCTTCATTTATATCTGGAGGGAGAGAAGAAATACTTTCTTGGGCAGCTGATTCTGGATTCACAATGAGAAGTTTGCTTGATGCAGCTTCTAGGTTGGTTATATTTTTTGTACTTTTCCCTGGAAGTTTCAAGACAGTTGAATAATTTATCTATTATGTTCATGATATTCTGAAACCTTGGGGAATTGCAGTAACTTTTATCAGCTGTTCAAGTTTGGTAGGTTAGGGACTCAATATCTTGATTCATGTGTTCTAAGGGTAAAAGGAGGGCTGATGCTTGTGGGTTCTATTTCTAAATTGTGTAGAAAGCTATTAACCTAGAACTGCTCTTTCTAACAAATAATAAAAAAAATTGCAGCTTCAGATAAGCTCATCCCACTCAAGTTCTTTTCTGCTATGAGTTAGTTGAAATTGAAAAACAAAATGACAAATGCCTTAAATCTGCCTGTGTTTGTGTCAATTATTCATTTCTACCCTTGTTTTTTTAATATGGTCAATTAACCATTATGTTATTTGTATTCATTCAAATTTACCTGGTGCTTTATTAATCTGTTCAATTAACCCAATAACTAATTTTTTTCGAGTATTAATATTAACTATACCTGTTAATTATTATCATTTATAAATACTTTTCATTTTTGAGATAACATTTTATGTTTATATAGGATTTTTATCGCCAAATAAGTTTTCTTAGAAGGTATATTAAAAATGAGTTTTAATAAGAAATCGAAGAAATAAAAACACCATGTAGAGCTTTACAACGAAAATGATGATTACAGATCATGAACTTTCTGTTGACTTTTGTTTCTTGATGCTGATTAAGTTCTTGGATTCGCAGGCTTCTGAACCCTGATCTGGAAAGCTCTGGATCTCTTTTTGTTGGGAGTTATGTTTTGCAGCTTATTTTACACCTACCACTGCAAATGGCAACACATATCCGTGACCTGGTTGCTGCTCTTGTTAGACGAATGCAGTCGGCTCAAATAGTGGGATTGAAAAGCTCATTGTTGCTTATTTTTGCTAGATTGGTACGAGCCATCAATACTTCAGCTTTAGTCAACTCAAACTCTTCATTGTCAATTTTCTTTTGCCAATTAGGGCAATCCTTAAGAATATTGTCAAATAATCATTCTTGCAAAGCTGTCAATCATTTTACTAATAAATTGGGTTTCAATCGCATGCCTTCTGACCTCTTTTATTGGCACACGCTAGTTTCTTATTAGCTGCTACAGCTAAGATTTCTTGGGCACTTCATGGATTGACTTTTGAACATTCTGCTTGTTTAAAATGCAGGTCCATATGAGCGCTCCTCATGTTGAACAATTCATTGACATGCTGATAGGTGTACCAGCTGAAGGCTATGAAAACTCCTTTGTTTATGTGATGTCAGAATGGACTAATCAGCAAGGTAAGTACGCTTCCCAATTAATTTTGCTCCAATTTACCAATATGCTAGGGGTGATGATACTATTCTCGTGGCTGCACATGTTCAATTCTTTGATTCTTTCCTCTCTGTCTTTGTTTGTTAGTAATAACTTTCGTGCTGTTTATAAGTTTCTGCTTGAAACTTTGCTCATGCAATACATGCCTTGGCAAGATCATAATGTTGAATTTGATTTGATAAATAACTTTTTAGGAGGATTATTCTGAGTTTAATTATCAAATTTCATTGTAATAATATTGATTAGAAAAAAGAAATTGTAGAATCCTCATTTCTTATATGAGATTTTGCTAAGTTATATTCTATGCTTAACGATACTTGTCTCATTTGTTAATTAACGAACATTGCTTGGAATTTATAATTTCATCATTTTTCTATTCGTTCCGGTTTATAATTTCCTTGAATGATGAATGTGATTTATATTGCTGGCTGTTTAATTTTTTTCACCATTAAACTTAGCATGTTGCCTTCGTTCCCTTTGAGCTGAAGACAACAGTGTATTTAATTTGTGTAATTTGTACAACAGATTGAAAATTATTAAAATTAGCTCTGATCAGGGTAAAAAGTAACCTATTGAATGAGAAACCATTTTCTCCTACTTGAAACCTTTGTGCAATGGAACAATGGAGAAAATCTACAGTTATGCCATTTCTGATCTGATTTAGTTCATACAAATTAAGACAGTATTTGATTTATTATGTTTCCAAATCATTGGTGGATTGGAAAAATTTAATGCCTGAAAGCATGAATGAAATTAAGCATGAATGAAATTTTAAATAGAAGGATAGTGGAACTTTTTAGTGTCTACATGGGATCCATTGCTTCTGCATATATTTTTCCAGTAGGTGCTGGTTGTTCAGGTCAGTGGGTTTTATTTGTTTGAGGTACTCTTCTGAATATTTTTGTTCACTTGGTTTACAATGTCGGATTCAAAAATCTTGCGTTTGAATTCATGCACATATATTTTTATACAAATGAACTAATTATATAACATGTCTCTTGTGTTTTTATTTTTTGATAAAAAGCATAATGTCTGCAATCAATCTGTGCTGCTCGTGTCATTGTTTTTCAAGCAATAAATGTATAGTCAAAATGAACTTAAATTGATTTTAAACCCTGAATTTCTAATTGAATGCAGGAGAGATTCAAGGGGCCTATCAAATTAAGGTCACAACCAGTGCTTTGGCCTTGTTGTTATCCACAAGGCGCTCTGAATTGAGTAAAATTAATGTGCAGGGACATCTAAAGGTTCATCCGTACCATTAAGCTCTGAATGCACATGTATTTATATGCTTGCTTGTTTCAAAAACTTACTCTTTTTATCAATAGTCTGCCGCAGGAATAACCACTCGGTCAAAAGCTAAATTGGCTCCTGATCAGTGGACTATAGTGCCACTTCCTGTAAAGGTACATATGAATCTAAATTGATGACATTGAATCTTTTGGATAGAATTTGCTTCTGGCAAGAATTTCAAAATTATTTGTGAACAAAAGTCGATTGCTTTCCTTGTCTCATTCACTGTCTATCACAACCACTCCTATCGGGTTTATAAATCATAATTGGTGTTGCTTCCACAAAAAAATTACTGATTTTTGCAATGTTTTTGCAAATTAACTTGTAGCAATGTTCTATACAACATTCTGGGAAAGCAACCTTCCCAATAGTTTTCTTCTTTCCAAAAGGACAAGTTTTTCAGATATCTTTTAGTTATATTAACTTTTAGCAGGTGAACCCTTAAAAAATGAATTCTCCTCCTTTCCATAATATTTGTCCCATTTGCAAAAGAAAAATGTTAATTTTTTATTGAAATCTAAAAAAATAAATTCCCATTGCCAAATTGTAAAGGGGTAAATTATAAATTAGTCCCTTTAATTTTGCAAAACAAATTAAATAGTCTTTTTTGTTTAAAAAATAATTAATTAATCCCTTGACTAGTGTCAAAATCATGGTTAATTAATATTACTTTGTTCCAAAATCGTCTTCTTTTTTCATCGATCTTTTTATATTTTTACTTCTCTTATTTATTTATTTATTTTTTTGTAAAACAGAAAATCAAAATAAATTGAAAAGGATCAAGTTACAAATAGATTTAATGATAAAAGGACTGATTAACTAGTTTTTGAAACGAAAGGGACTTTAATTTGTTTTGAAAAACTAGAGGGACTAATTTATAATTTACTCTTTGTAAAGGATACATACATAGTTAAAAGAAGAAAAAGAAAAGCATAGTTTTGACTATAACAATTTAACTTTGTTGCATTTTGGGGTATTCTCATTTTATTAGGTAGAGAAATTTTACTAAGTGCGTGGTATTTTATTTGTACTGTTAATAATTGACGGGTATACATGATCAACCATTTAGGGTCTTAGACGCTTTCCATATCTTGTCCTGTTTGTTGCAGATATTGGCTTTGCTGGCAGACACTGTGATTGAATTCCAAGAACAGGCAATAGCTGATGATGAGGTAGGGTCATCTTTTTTGGGTTTCTATAATGTCATCATCCCTTTAGCTGCAAGGAATAGAACTCTTAAGGTCTGAGCAAACTGTTTTAGCAGGAGAGCGACTGGGAAGAAATTCAGGGAGGGGTGGCAGAGTCTAATGATAATTTGCTTCACTCTGTGGCTGCTCCATCATTCGGCAGAACTACATATGGCCAACTAGAAGCAATGGCAAAAGCATATAATGAGGTGCATTCATATGAAAATTTTACAATTTTTTTCTTAATATTTTCCACCTGTTGCTTTATTTAATTACATCATGTTATTTTATATTTTCTTCTCTTTTGCACCTCCCCCAACACTAACCCAATTTTTGTGATCTTCAAGAATGAAGAGGATGGGGATGATGATGACCAATTAAGTGTTTCTGATCCACTCAATGAGGTAAGTTTTCAGCATTATCATTTTTTATTTTATTGCTGAATTTTCAGTATTATCTGTGTGTCGTCTAAATATTTCAAGTATCACATACAATTTTAATTTCTTGAAATGGTCCTAGCAGATTAACTTGATAAATTATCTTGCGGACTTCTTCGCAAAGTTCATTCATAGCGACAGAGAGCTATTTGATTATCTTTGCCAGGTTGACTTGCATTCTGTTTCATGCATTTGATTCATAATTCTCAGCTATTTACTTTAGCATTCATGAAAGGAATTGAAAATCCTTGTTTTTTTTTTTTTTTTTTTTTGTTGTGTTCTGAAATTGCAGGGTTTGGCACAGAATCGACGGGATGCTATACAGACATTGGTGGGACGTTGAGCTGTGTTTCGTGTGCCAAGGATGGGATTTTCTTGTGTTTTGAGGGAGTTGAATTTGATTCTGGGGGCATCTTTGTTGTTGAGAGAAGCTGCCAATGAGACCATGTTTGGACCACACTAGGGTTGACTATTGACTGCTATTTTTGTCCCTTTTTTTTTTTTTTTTTTTTTTGGGCTGGGGGAGGTTGGAAAGCGGGGTGTTTGGGTTTGATTCTATTGGTTGATCAAGAAAACTGTGTCAGTTGCTTTGTAAATGTAACGTGTAACTTTATTTTTAGTGTATATTCTTCTCTTTTATTGAAAAGGTTGATTCTTATTTCAGAATCTCAACCCTGCTGGTGAGCACTTGTATGCTTGTTTTCTCTCCATTCAACGGGAGAGATGGTGGATCTTTAATAGATTTTCCAAAATAAACTAAAAGAACAATTATTTTCAAAAGTGTAATATTTGTGTACATGCAAAAATGCAAGCTGACAAGTATTGGGCTAGTTGTCAAAATGCATGACATTGTAGTTGCAGGATTATTTTCATAGACAGAAGACATCATTAACAATAAACCTTGTGCTTATTAGTCTGTCACATGGTGACGGATTAAGCATCACTTCATGCTTGGAGAAATTCATATTATATTGAAGATGTCATGATTTCTTACAACTGACTCTTCACATAAAGTTCGAACAATGATTCATCGTAGCCACCATCTATCACGTTCATAGGTAGAAGTGAAAGAACAGAACTTGAACAGCAACACGTCCGCTCCATGCTGATCAAGAATCAATGTACTCCATGGAGCTAGACTTCCTCGGCAAAGTGGGCAAGTCAGTTGCCGGAAGCCAAGCCATCTGTCTAAGCATACCCTATGAAAGATATGCTCACATCTCAACTCTCTAATTTCTTCGCCTTCTTCAACTTCACTTAGACACACAGCGCATTCTGCAGGAGCTTCATTGGTCACTATGTTTAGTTCTTCACCATTTACGGGCACATCAAACAACTTGCATTTTTGGAAGCTGAAAGGATGATAAAACAAGAAATTTAATGCCCATCTCAGATGGGCAGTGATGAGATCTAAGTATCTGATAAACATGATGAGACAAGATGAACGAGGAGCAAATGGTTATGCCTCAAAATAAATGGGCAGTGGGTCTTTTATAGACTTGCATTGTGAAAAGGAAACCGAGTTTAGCAACTTTTCTCTGACTTTGTTAACTTAATGAGTAATGACACACGAGTACTGATTGCACCAGGGCCCAGGCGTCCACAAAATGGGAACTTAATGGATACACGTGATTTATTGAGTAGAAAATTTACATCAATTCCGATCGCTTTCAGGACATGGTTTAAAGCAGAATTTTTCTTTTTTCGTGTTCTACCAAATTGTTCGATTTTTTTTTTTTTTTTTTGGGAGGGGGGACCCACTACACCAAATCACCTAGTTTCGTTACAGACTTAAGAAAACTAAAGCTAAAAATCATTCTCAGATAATCCCACCATTCCATTTTGTTAGTCCACTGTTAGATTTTCAGCTGAATTTGTTAGAACATTATTTATTGCTTTATCTACTGGGCATAATCTCAAAAATATCTCTATAAATTTTAGGAATCCATATAGGAGTATTTTCAAATAAAATTGTAATTATTTAAATAAATAATTGAGGATAATATTAAAAAAATCATTTTTTGGACTTTATTTATAAAGAGGAAAAACATCACGACGCATTTTTAAAGTAAAATGGACAAATAAAACGGGACACAGAGAAAAAAACTATGAACCAACAAATTAATCAAATGAAACATATAAAAGATAGGCAGCTGCCACGACACGACAGAGTAGCAAATCGAAGTAGAGTATAAACACCCAATGCTAGATAATATAACAAGAAGAAAATTAAAATTATTGTTATCTTAATTTTTAATTTATATATCTTGCCTCTGAAATCTAAAGTTAAAATTACCAATATATATACTTTTTTGGGTCAAAAAATTGTCTTTTTTGACGTTTTGCATAGATTTAATGAAGCTATTAATTATTATATCATATCAATATTTTATTTTTTAGAAATTTTTTTTTTGATAATTGTACACTACAAAAAAAATTGAGTTTAACGACGAAATATTCCATCGCTAAATAGTCCGATTCCGTCGCTATTTGTAAATACCGACGAGATCATATTTCGTCACTATTTTCGTTGGTCACTAATTTTTTGCAACGGAATACTCAATCCGTCACTAAATTTAGCGATGAAAAATCCATCGCTAATCTTGTCGTAGGATCGCTCTTTTTGTTCGTAGCTAATCCGTTGCTAGTTCGTCGCTAATGTCCGTCAATAATTTCGAAAACGATATTTTTAGCAATTCTTTTGCTTATGTTGACATTTTTTGAAATTAAATTATTAAAATAACATTTAATAATTAATATGTAATAATAAACAATCATAAGTAATCATGTATATATGAAAAATAAAATAATATTAACAAAATCATTCTAGAATATGTTTCATAAAAAAACAACAAAACAAACAAAGTGATCGAATATTATATCACTCATCCCGATCGTCTAATCCCATATCCTCATCCTCATACCTGTGTGGAGGGCTCGATTAGAGGCTGAATTGAAGGTTGAGTGGAAGGACCGATAGATTGTTAAATGATCGACGGATCTATAGACAACCCGGATGTTCATGCCATCTGCATCGGTAAGGATGCCATCGAGTCGTATTGAGACTCCATGCTACAAATAATCTGATTTTTCTCCGAAATCGGCTTTTAAGCTCGATCACCTCTTACTTCGTAGCCTCATAGTCCATCCGAAGCTTTTCGCTAGCCGGATCGATCATGTCTTGCGACATCGCGGATAACGAGTTGCTTGCCACCCGACCGAGACACATAATGCACCAACCGTATGCTTATACCATAAAATCTTTTCTTCTTCTCCTCAACGACTGCAGGTATACGGCATTCTAGTTTACTTCGGCTCCAAGATTCCTGCCTCCTCCGAGCCTCGACTTCCTCATTGATGAGTCTGCTCCACACGGTCTTGCGTAATCAAAATAATAATATCATCGTTACGGAATTAAAATAAATTTGAGAATAAATTTTCATATTTGAAATTTGAAATTGAAAAATACTAACCTTTGAGAATAAATATTCTACTAAAATATTTATTTAATTCTATTTAGTCAATAAAATATTTATAAAATTTTAACCTTAAAAAGCATAATTTAAGGTAATTACATTATCATTTTTACTTAAAATACATGAAATTTTATACTTTTTGAACCTAAAAACATTAAATTACATTATCATCCGAATAATTTATGAAAATATTCTAATAAAATATTTATTTAATTCTATTAATTAATAAAATATTTATAAAATTTTAACATTGATTTTAATTTTTTAATTACATTTTTATTCAATTTTTTTTAAAACGATCAAATCATTATGCATGTTATCTTATTTCAATTTTAATAATTAAACTAATAAAATTACATTCGAAATGACTAAACTACGTAAAAAATTATATAATTTCAATCAAATTTAACTAAACCACATCAAAAATTATATAATTTCAAAATTAAGTTAAAAAAATTAACTAAATTAACCTATAACACTAAAAACAAATTAATATATAATTAATTCAATTAATTAAAATAAAAATTTAAGATTAAATAATTAAATTTTAATCTAACAACTCAAAATTAACAAAATTTAAATTTTTAAGCTTTATGTTGACATACAAATTAACCAAACAATTAACATAATAACAAAATAAAACTTAAACAAAATTAATCTAACATTTATAAAAATAAAATAACAACTAACAAATTTAAACTAATACATATAAGTTAACATAACAAGATAATTAACAACATTGAAACAATTAATAAACTAATAAATAACAAAATTTAACTAAAAATTTATAACATTTATCTAACTAAAAAAATATAAAAGTTAGAAAGAGAAAGTTTTACTCGATAGATCAAGGATAGAGAATACGGATCCGATACGATTTTGAGGGAGAAAGACACCCCTTACTTTGTTGAATGGTTTTGAAAAAGATTTAGTAGCGTGGGACGACATGGGTGGGGGTTTTTTTGGGCGGCGGCGGAAGGGGAGGTGTGTTAGAAGTGAAGGAAACAAATAGAGAAGAAGAAAAGGAGGGATATATAAAGGCAAAATAGCGACGGACCCGAATCCGTCGCTATTTCGACACTATTTTAGGGGAAATTCCCCCCAAAACTAGCAATGGACGCCGTCCATCGCTAGCTTTAGGGAAAAATTTTCCCCAAAAACTAGAGACGGACCGACATTCCCTTGCTAATTTTATGCCATCATGGAGGAAATTCACCTCGAAAAGTCATAAAATTAGCGACGGACTTAATATCGGTCGCTAACTTTGCTAAATTATGAGAATTTTAGCGACGGATAATTTTTTCATTTAGCGATCAATTTTTCATCATTGATTTTGATGCTTTTTTTGCCTTATTTAGCGACGGACTTTTAACCATCGCTAAGTATCCCTCGTTAGTCCGTCACTAATCCGTCGTAAAAAACATCATCTTATAATCCGTCGCTAAAGTCCATCTCTAATTCATATTTTTCTAGTAGTGGTATATGGATAATCTTTTACGAAATAAATTTTAATAAGATATATTTTAGAAAAATACATCACTTAAATTTTTTATTAGAATTTTTTAAAAAATATATATAAATAAAAATGTAAATAATATCTTTCAAAAAAATAAAATATTTATTAAAAAAGTTAAGTTAAGAAATGCACACTCTAATTACATAGTGAAAGTAAACCTTCTCCATATCTAAATTATAAATCACATCTTCCTCTTAATTTCAAGATTTGAATCTCAAATTTAATCATTATGACATTGGGAATCTTTTAATTTTTTAAAATTTATAAGTTTTTTAATGAAATATTTATCTATTAAAGTATAATATAAAATCATTTTTAAAACTTCATCTAATCCTTTAAAATTTTAGATTG